CGTTGTTTGTACTTACCTCGCCATGGTGGTCATGGGAGGATTCTTGCAGAATTTTCAGTGTCGTCAGGGAAGGAGCCAGGCGAATGCATTTAGTTTCAGATAAATATTTGCCGGTCACTGGATCTTGAAGAGCAGCAAATGGCACCATGAACAGAGGACCGTCAGGGATGATGATCACCTCGTCGTGGGTCAGATGGTGCAGCACTGGGGAAACCAGTCTTTGGAAGAGGACATCGAGATACTTGACAACATCGTCTTCTTCTTCTTTGACAGTGTTTCTATCAAGCTGACGAAAACATTTGAGAGCAGTTTCACTGAGCTTTAAAGGGTTTGTAGAGGTTGCAGACTCCAGGTCTTCATGKTCTTCTAAGTTCATCGATCTGTCTTCGCATTTCACTTCTTTTCCTTCTCTGACGTTCAGCTGCTGAAAACAGTTGTCAACGAGATATTGAAAATATCCTGCTTTAGTATTTTTTCTCTCATCATCAGAGAGGCTCGACACAATTGTTGCTAAGACTTCGCMGTCGTCTATTTCATCGTAAAAGAAGGTAGATGGATTTCGGGATGATATGACCCAGCTATGATAAGCAACCTTGTTAAAATGAAGATTGTAGAAAAGGATGGAGACTTCTCGATGAGAGGAAATTGTCTTGACATCTGCAAGTTCCAAAGCTTTTGATTCTGTTTTCTCAGTTGTGTTGTATTTAAGGGACAAGAGATCTCTCAAAGCACGTGCTCGTCCATGTTCACATACTAAGAGAGCTTCTTCGCTTTGTCTTGTTTTGACGTAGACTTGACTGAGGAACTTGTAGGTTTTGATGAATGTATCGACAARTGAAACCTTGAATTGGTCATTGTCTTTTAAATCATCAAACAATTTCTCGTAGCATTGTATGCTCTCCTCTAGGTGTTCTTTTGATTTGCTGAGGTCTTTAATGCTCGATTCTCCCTGATATAAAAMACCTAAAATAGAAAGACGATACTTTAGAATTAGACTTACTAACTTTAACATTAACTTTGATACTATAACACTTTAACATTAGATTTTAGTCAGAAGTAGTTTTGATACTAAAATGATACAGATGATTATTCAACGCGTATTTACACAACAATCATGGTTTATATCAGTGCGTAATGATAAATCCTTGTAACCGATAGAATATGCTATTTGATTTTAGTAAGAAGTACTTCTGATTTTAGTATGTATTATCAAATACTAAAATTGTAATATATTTGAACGCATGTTTGCCGCACATCGCTATATTGGACATCTATAATTAACAAATCGGTGTGGTCGATAGATACGAATTTGTGTGAGGTTTTTGACCTGGTACAAGTCCAGCCAACGTCAA